AAGGTACGGGAGAGTTCTAGAAACGTGGCGTCACACTAGTCATGTGACTCGCTGACGCAACAATATGGAACACAGAGGTTCTCATTATAGATACATATGGAACACAGAGGTTCTCATTATAGATACATGTGGAACACAGAGGTTCTCATTATAGATACATGTGGAACACAGAGGTTCTCATTATAGATACATGTGGAACACAGAGGTTCTCATTTCTATTGTACATGTAAACCTGCTCGATAAGTTATCTGTGCTGGTTCCATGGTTGGGAATGAACCCTGAATTTTAGCACTATAAGCCCTCAAGCTTACCGCTGAGCCACCGACAGAAGCAGACCTTCTCAAAGACAGTATGCATCAAAACAAGCTTTATATACAAAGAACATATAAGTAATTTTTATGTATCTCTTTGTATCATTTACACTTATACAATCAAGACTATGGAAACATTTTTACAATTATCAGTTGTTAATTTGTTATTTTTTCAAAAAACAGCTACTTTTTTCACACCTTAACCTTACCAAATAACTCAAAAAACACAATATTTGTGAATCATTGGAATTACAAACAGTGTCAGTGCATGATAATTCCTATATACCTACATAGATTCATAAATGTTCTTTATCTCCTACATAGGTACACAAATTTATACTCCTATACACGTTCACAGATTGTTTAATCCTCTTTACACTTCTACACAGTGCTCAGATTCATTAATGTTATTCGTATTAAACATGTATTGAGATGCGTTAATGTTCTTTATACTCCTACACATATTAACTGATTCATTAATGCTCTCTATACTTCTAAACATGTATTGAGATGCGTTAATGTTCTTTATACTCCTACACATATTAACAGATTCATTAATGCTCTTTCTACTTCTAAACATGTATTGATATGCGTTATTGTTCTTTATACTTCTAAACATGTATTGATATGCGTTATTGTTCTTTATATTCCTAAACATGTATTGAGATGCGTTAATGTTCTTTATACTCCTATACACGTTCACAGATTGTTTAATCCTCTTTACACTCCTACACACGTGCTTAGATTCATTAATGTTATTCGTATTAAACATGTATTGAGATGCGTTAATGTTCTTTATACTCCTACACATATTAACAGATTCATTAATGCTCTTTATACTTCTAAACATGTATTGATATGCGTTATTGTTCTTTATATTCCTAAACATGTATTGAGATGCGTTAATGTTCTTTATACTCCTACACATATTAACAGATTCATTAATGCTCTTTATACTTCTAAACATGTATTGATATGCGTTATTGTTCTTTATATTCCTAAACATGTATTGAGATGCGTTAATGTTCTTTATACTCCTACACATATGAACAGATTCTTTAATGTTATTTAAGATCCTACACAGGTACATAGATTCAATAATGTTTCTATACTCCTAAACTCAAAAAACAGATTTATAAATGTTCGTTAATCTCATAAATATATACACAAGTGAAGAGGTGGTTGGGAGGAAGAAGAAGTTGAAGTGGTCAGCAATGGCAGAAGAGAAGGCCTGGTGTGGCTTTGTTGAAGATATCAACATGATGATGGAGAACACTTTGATTGGAACATCGAAGAGGAAGTTGGAAGTGATGGGCAACCTGACTTATGATTATGAGAAAGTAAGGATTGAAAGTGTGAAACTACGGAAGTGGCTTCTTGCTCCAACACCAAGCAGGCGTTAGAAAGAGATAGATAAACTAAGAGAAAAGGTGAAATATTCAGTCCAGAAGAAAAAATTGGATTACAGAGCTTCAAGAGCATGCTAGAGCTAAACGCACTTCTCTCCATCGTACTGAAAGACAAAGAAGGAAACAGAACGATCAAGAACAGCTGTCTTTAAAAACCCCCATCACTTTATACAAAGGTTTTTCGAGCAGAGCAGTAGTAACAAATTGGATGTACCACAGCAAGATTTTGAGGATCATCTGAAGACCATCTTTTCAGGCCAGCGGTGTGAAGTACCAATGGCTGACATTGCAGGTTTAGTGAGGCCAACTTGACCGGTCTCTGAGGTGACCAGGCAGAACCAAGACTTGCTGAGGTGGAAAAGCTTGTAAACCAAAACAAGTGCAGTTTCAACACCACGGCCAAACGGAGTTACATACAAAGTCTACAAGAAATTTGAAAGGCTTAGAAAGTTTCTATGGAAGTTGTTGGAAGTTGTCTGGAGGCAAGACGTAGTTCCCTCTTCCTGGAGTCAATCGTGTACATCCTTAAAGAAGAAGATTCTCGCTCATTGAGTCAGTTCCATCTGATATAACTATTGAATATAGAAGTAAAGATCATGTTTGGAATCATAGCCAAGATAATTTCATCATCTATGCTTCCAATTAGCTTATTCAACACATCTGTTCAAAAAGCTAGAATACTAAGGTTTCCAGAATGCTTAGAGCATACTAGTATTATTTGGAAGCGATTAGTCAAAATTCTGGAACGCTGGTACACAAAGAAACTGAAAGATATCAAAAGCACTCATGAGATAACGAGGCAAAGTAATGAAATGCTTCAGTAATTTCACCAATATGGTTTGCCTAACAAGTTGAAACTTTGGTTATTGCATTATGGTATCATGCCACGGATAATGTGGCTTCTTGCCTTATAGGAGATAGCTATGAACCATCTAGAGGCAATGAAATGTAAACTGATAAGTATATCAAGAGATGGCTTGGATTTCCTAACAGCTTCACTAATGTCACCATCTGCAGTAGTTGTACAAAGTTACCGTTATCGGTGAGGTCCTTTGTCGAGGAGTTCAAAGTGACTAAAGCAAGATCCTTTATGACCCTGAGAGACTCTAAAGACCCAGTGATCAAGAATGCTAGCCAGATGTCAAATCAGGACGAAAGTGGCCAGCTGATGCATCAGTGGAAGAGGCTGAGTCAAAATTGAAGTATAAAAAGATTGTCAGTGCTAACCATTTAGGGTACCAAGGTATATATATATTGGATATGCCACAAGTGATAGTTTCCATCCAGTGATAAGAAGTGACGGGAGTTGATTTTGCAGTAAATTAGAGAGGTAGAAGAGGAAAATAAGTTAGCTACAGCTGTGGGACAAACTAAACAAGGTGTTTGGACACTGTGGAGGAAAGTTGAATAACTAAACATGAACAGTTGGTATGAAGAGAAGAAACATTGCTGCCGTGTATGTGGAAAGAAGGGACCCTTAGAGCATATTTTTAGTGCATACACTTCTGTTCATTCTGGTGGAATGTAAACCTAGAAATGATTGCAAAGGCTGTTGAACAGAAACTTGAAAAAAAAAAACTCAGAGAAAGTTACCAGTAGCACTAGGCGCTTCATCTCATTGGTAAAGGAGGGCTCCCAGTCAAAGGCGTACATCAGCAATTCAAGATCAAATATCCTTTTATCTGCAAACGACTGGTTCGTTAG